GCGCTGTTTACGTAGGACACAGCACAGAAGAAATAAGATTCATTTGCGCTTAAAAGACTAAAAACATTAAAATCTAGTTAAGCATTCATCTACCTCATCTTTAACAGGTTTCATAAACCATGCTGGAGATAGAAAGGAAAACAGACATAAGTGATTGAAAACAAAAAGGCTGCTCCCTACATTATGATTTCAACAGTGCTATTCTAAATGCTCTCGTTACGAGATCTCAGTTTCTACTTCCCTGTACTACCTACAATGTCATCACCATTAATGTCACCTTGCTCTTATGGGCATACAAATAGCCAGTAAAACGTACCTTGTCTTTCACAACTCTCATGCCACAAGGAGCCAAAGTATAAATGTGCGAAAAATAAAGCCAGACCTCAGTTGAAAACTAACACAGATGCACAACATCAAAGATTAGGGACACACCATTGAAGACATATAATTTAGCTCAAAGAAATGCAAAATGTAAATACTCAAAGGACTTTATACATTTACAACATATGCATATTTCTCTGTATTTTTCTATAATAAAAGAAAAAACAGCAAAGGAAAAAAAAACTAATAAAAGTGCTTGTTGCAGTCATGGAGGATGATTAGAATATATCTCTCTACAGAACTATCAGGCAACCAAATTAACACTGGATTAAGGGGTACCATCACAGCTCCTTAATTTAAAATAGCTTTACTACACTTACCCCAGCTAACATCTGCATTGAGCTACCAGAAAAAAGAATTCACTTCATACTGCTTTCCAGAAGAAGGGATTAAAAAGCCTTTAATGCAGCATCCAAATTAAATGGAAAAATTATTCACTGAAATTATAATGTAGAGCAACAGCACATGGAGCTGCCAGGCTCACACATCCAGTCTCCTACATGCCTAGTTTTTATTTTTTATATAATTTTTATGCCATTATATTTCCTATTAAAAAATCAATACACATTGAACAACTCAAGCACTGACCGTTCTGTTTCCCCACCAGCCCAACATTCTCTGCATTAAAAGACTCTAAATTCAGCAGGTACATTCATAAGATATTCTTCTTGTCCTATTTTCTACGCTGTCAAGGAACAGTTTTCCAGTAACTTACAAACCTACTCAGTTTCTACTACTTTGTTTTTTCTAGCTTTATAAATAACTCAGCCTACCGTTAGAACAAAGCTTTTTTTAAAAGGAAAAAAAGTTGAATTTTGCTATATTCAAGCAATAATTGCAATTGCTACATATGCATAATTAGCTCTACAGGAGGTATATGAAAGATTAAGTATTCACTAAAAGTGAGGTCAACATTCTTGCCAAATAATCACCTGTGATGAAACTAGATGGGGTTCAACACATCACAATAGCAGGTCATCTTCTACAAACAAAGCTCAAGGTTCCATAATTCATTAAACACTTAAAGTGTATTTTAACAAGTACAACAAACATTTGGATTTTTTCCCCAGTTCCCTAGGACCATTCTATCAACACAAAAAAGGCTTTTTTTCCTTTGTTACCTGACAGAATAACTTCACTTTATCTTTGGCCATCATTGAACTAAATATTTATTTAAATTAAATTTGTCTCCATAATCATAGAATGGTTTGGGTTGGAAGAGATCTTAAAAATCATCTAGTTCCAACCCCCCTGCCATGATAACAAGGGATTTTTTTAATAGGATTACAAAGAGAAACTGTTCTTGTTTTGGGGGTTTTTTGCCTTAAAAAGCAAACAAACAAACATGGGCAACTTCAGAGGCTAGTAAGAAATAAAGCAACACAATAATCTCAATTAATCCACTCTTATACAAACCAAAAAGTTAATCCCCCAACACTTTTCAAGATACATTATTACACATAATTATACATTCCACATAATTATATAGAAGCACTGAAAAGAAATTCAAGCAACAACAGGAAGACAGTTTCAAATTAAACTGAAAATAGGTTGAGACAATTAACTACCAAGCTTTTACTGACTACTTGATGCCAAAAGGCTCTTTCAAACACATTGCCAGAGAGCCCTCAATATGAAATCCTGAGTTTTGAGCGAGTCCAACAAGCTGATTCTGGATTTAAATTTTCAGCTGAAAAACAGTAAAAACAAGAAAAGGACAAATGCCTACAAATTCCATTAGAATTCTATCTACTATTCTATATTTCTGTTCTTGTAAAACATATTTATTTGAAGCCAACAGCTGTACCAATACTACTAAAACACACTCAGCCTGACAGCTCCAATTAAGATGAAGAAACAATTTATACAGATTAAATATAAACAAAATTCAAAGTGTTAAGTCTCAGGGTTATAAAGGCATTGTTCAAGTCAAACTATTAGATCAACCTGTGTGCACTTAAGACTCTGTAGATAAGAGTAACCTCGTGCCATGGTTTTCAGGAATTTCACTAATAATCTTGACTAGTGTTCTTATGGTGTCCCTATGCCGAAAAACTTGATTATACTACCTTGAATTGCATAATAAGCCTTAACATGTATTGTTTATTCCCCAGGAATCTGATCATTTATCTACTATGGGATCAACGCTATTAAAGATCCTTTTAATTAGGAAATAATTGTTGGCAAAACTATCAAGGTAAACAAAGTTTCAAGTAAAAGGACAAATAAGATAAAGTGTTCAGGATACTTTGGAAAACTGAGCTCATTTGAATACATGACATAATATGGTTAAGTGCCAGATCAAATATCTAGGACAAGAAAAATCAGCACAATCCACCTTAGAAACAGTGATCCCGAAAAAAGCCAGAGGAGGAAGGTGGCACAGAAAAAAAGAATAAATCAGCTAAGCCACACTTCTAATGGGATATCGCAGCAAACAATCTTTTTTTGTTTTAAAAATACTTGGTATGATTAAAGGGAGGCAATGTTTACAGTCAGCAATGATCTGACCAAGAAAACACTGTTACCCAAGGACAGGGTCCACTTTTGCAAACTCAAAGAGAGACCACACAACAACTCTCAAAATTTTAACACTTAAAAAATGTGTTTTATCAAAATTGATTTGGGTTCAAGTCTGTTAATTTTATCAGAGTTTCTAAGAATCCATACAGGGAAGTACTGCAGCTAGTAAAGAACTCTACTCTAGGAGACAGCTGTAGAAGACCCAATACTTACAGCTTCAGCTGAACTCAGAGCAGATGTAGTAAATACATCTAACCACAGAGGCAACTGATAAAACGCATCTTTCTCACTTCAAGCCAAAATTAGAGTAAGCAGAGAGAGATGCGTCGAACACTCTAAGAAATACCTTTGCAATCAAAATGTGTCCACCTAGTGCTGCAGCTCTCAGGAAATTGTACAGCTTGTGTTACACAGGTGATCAGAGCATGGTAACCAAAATCCAATATCAAAATACCTAAGTTTATCTGCATTATAAAAAAACCACTGTGAAACTACAATAGATCCTGAGCAGAAAGAGAACTTCATGTTTTAAAGGCAAATCAGAAAATGAACCTAACATGACAAGGAGATTTAACAGCACTGAAGAGCAGACCGTTCACAAGGCTCTTACTTACCAAATTAACCGAGTGAAATTTAAGATGCTTCCAAACTATGCCATTCAGTAAGTCATGAATCAGATTTATCTTACTGTCAGAATCTTCATAAGTAAATTCTGCCCACATGTAGTCTTAATCTGTGTTTAAATGCCACTAGTAGATTTCAGTTAAGAATGAGTAAGAGAACAACCAGTAGTAAGAGCAGCTCTGAAGTTGCAAGCACTCACATTATTTCAAGTGTATTTAGAAAAACCCACGCAACATTACATAACAAAAAAAAAAAAAAAAAAAGAAGCTTTAAGGTTCATCTTCAAGAAGCACTGAAACAGTAAGCTAAATATTAGAAGCTCTGTTAATTTTCTTCCACAGATGCATTTTTACAGAATCCACAAAACCTGAGTATCTTCCCCTGTGCTGGTAGCACATCTTCTACATATACTAGTCACCTATCAAACAACAGTAGTTAATGCCACTGAAACTTTTCCATAACATCTCCAGTTTAGTAGAGGACAATGCACAGTATGAAGTAAGCACCTGCAAACAAAACTGCTTCATGATAGAATTGAGCGCATGGGGGGAAGAGGAGAACTAACTGTGTTTTTAGTTCAACTACACTGCTTCTAAAGAGACTAAATATAAACTAAACAAAACTCAGCAGTTAATCACTGTCACTATTTTTCCAGGAGGAGACCTGAAAATGATCAAGAATGGTTACACATACTACTTTGCCCAAAAACAAGAACAGCTCCAGATTTAGCTGAAATCCAAGACTGAGAGGTATGGTATATACAAGGTATAATGCAAGGCTTTGTTACTATTTTTTTTTCCAACTCCAGCTCTTCGCAGAAGTCTGACAAATAATGGGTTTACCAAAAAAAAAAAAAAAAAAAAAAAAAAAAAAAAAAAAAAAAAAAAAAAAAAAAAACACCAAAAAAAACCAAACAAAAAACTACAACCAAAAAAAAAAGTTGGTAAGTAAACCACAAAACTTTTGCAGTCACGAACATATTACACAGAGATTTAAGACACAGAAAGTCATATAACACGTAAAGTAAAAAAAAAAAAAAAAACAAAAAAACAAAAAAAAAACCAAACACACAAAAGGTTTTCAAACATGTTTATGGTAACCAACAGTCATCTCACAACATCTGCTCGTGAGCAGTTTAACTACATCAAAAATATTTCCTTAATTGCTTCCCCTAAATCTATAGAATACTCTTGAGCAGGGAGTGTCAGCTCATGAATTTATATGCATATTTAAATGACCCTAAGCCACTACCAACATCATCTCAGTTTTACCCTGCTCCTGACTTTACCATACTTGAGGCTAAACTTCTGAAGAGCTTTTGGTTAGCTTGTTTAAGGATAACATAATTTGTCTTCCTCAATATTAGGTTGTTTGGTCGTATTTAAGAGTATATCAGTCAAACAATCCATCCCATTAGTAACATAATCCACCCCACTATAGCTAAATATATAATGATGTATTTCTTCCATTACCTGTCTCTGAAATATAAACAACAGGATCCTGCTTTAGAACTTTATCACGTTTTGAAGTAGCTGCTTTTTTCTCAGATTCCTTCTTGGATTTTTTCACTGACTGCACCTCCTCTTCTGAATCTGTATTTTGACCACAACATAAATGTAGATTTCTGCTATATACATACAAGTTTTAAGTAACAGATCATATAACATCAGTTAACACATGTTCACATGTATTCAATTGCAAGAGAAAAAGGTATCATACAGAAGGTCAAAGCACAGCTTTATTTTTCTCCATCAGCTAACAGCCTAGCCACCATTCATTCCAGCACATAGATGACTAAATGAAAATTTGGTCAGAACTCAGTCTAGACACTGGGTTTTGCTTACATAATAACAAATATTTTGTTAATTATTCCAAGAATGGATATGCCTGTATAAAAACCTTTCTGTAAAGGAATGTGACTCTCAGAGTACCACAGCAGATTACTAAACAACAAACACACACACAATAAACAAAAAAAAAAACAATCCACCTCACCCAAAAACCACCCAACCCAAACAACAGACACACCACAACAAACTTCCAACTTAGATTCATTAGACTGATTAAATGTATACGGTATTATATATTATGCTGGTATATTCCATGGTACCTATTCCAAAAGCTAACAAGCTAACAACAGGGTAAAAAGAGATCACTAAGGCTTCACTATGGTTTTTTCAGAACACTAGTAGACCTGTCACTCACCTCACCAACCATTCTCCATATCCCAGAATTTGTCAAGATGACAAATTTACACTACTGTGGATTATGTATCCCAGCAGCCAAATGAGGAAGCAGGACAAACTGAAGAAGCTGGGACAATTAACAAGCATTAAGAGGCTACCCTTCAGAGCCTACCTTTTTCCACGATAAGCACTAACATACATTGTAATTATAAATATATAAGGCAGCCATGGTCAATTGACTTTAGTCAGTTGAGTCCTATCCCGTCATTGTCTCCCATCCCACATCCCTCCCCCCAAAAAAAACCCCAAAACAATGCAACATACACACTTTTCTCTCTCCGAGAGCTTACAGCTCTATTTCCCTTTCCCTTTCCTACTAATAACAAGCTAGAATTTGCAAAATCTCTAGACAGTATCATCACTTTACAAGTAACTGTTGAGTTACATACTACTTTTGTACTCCAACTTTTAATGCAGAAATATTTCTACTGCTATTCCTCATGCTAAAGAGGAATTATTTATAGAACAGTTTATCTGAAGATTAGAACACATTTCTATATATAACAGCATTATTCTGACAGCCATTTGTGATCATTTTTCTTCTACAGGAGAAGCACTATTCTATTAAGATTGCATCTAAAAATTCCAGTTGAAGTCTTCAGGGGTCAAAAATTATAGAAACTCCTGCAATCTTTTCTAGTTTCACAACAATTCAAGATTCAGAATGCAATCAAAGAAGGTTAAATGACATAGCACCTCAAACTAAACTAGAAATTTCAAGCTTTTAAATTAAACTAACAACCTGACAGGCAACAGTTTGAGAACTTTTCGGTTTTTAAAGTTGTTGGTTGTGTGTGGGTTTTTCCAAGATATTAAGTGTTATAAAATAGGTTTCTCTATTATAATATTACAAAGAATATATTTAGAATGCGATAGCAGTGCTTTATATTATAAACTGTGTTCCATGCTCTAAATTTAAAACTATGGGATGAATATTTACTAGATTTTTTTTACTAGAGAAAGACACATATAGAAACACAAGTCTGCCTTTTAGAACAATCTCCTTGTTCACACAGGCACAGAAATGTGAATTTACAGCATATGATCAGCCTCCTGTACCCAGTGTAGGGCGTCATTTATCCTTAAAAGAACAGGAAACCAAAAACTCCACACAACTTCTATGCATTTTCATAACAAAAAAAAGTTCTGCAGTTTTGATCAAATTCACTATCTTAACATTTTTTGGTGGGTTTCTTACTTGGTTTGAGGTTTTGGGCTCTTTAACAGATGTTTTCTTAAAAGTTACTTTGCAATGTATATTTCATGCATGGCACATACTGCACTTACTATTATCAAATATAATTTGCTATCCGTCAATAACTACTGTGAAAAATGTTTTTTACTCCATTTACTAAAATGACAGATTAATCACAGCTTTCTTTCAGATGTACAATTTGCATAAATCAACCTTTAATGCTGATGCTAAAGACAGAAGGGAGCATTCAGAAATAACCATGAACACTACCTGAATCGTAGATTATTCTTTTTTTCTTTTTGGCCCGCTTTTGTTTGGAATCATCATCTTCACTGGGTGAATTATTCACCTAAGAGTAACAGTCCATTAGTCCAACTAGTGAACAGGTCCTTCCAGCTTTTACCCAGTTACACATTCAAATTCATGAGTTTCAAACAAATTCTAACAGAAATGTATTTCTCAATATTACATTTATGAACAGTCTTGCTTAACTCATGGGTGGAGAGGGAAAGGTGCAGGGCAGAGCAAATAAGGAAGAAACTGCAGCAGTAAAACTAAACATGCTCCAAGCAAACCACAGACGATTACGCTGAGAATAAATATCCAAGTTTAATACAAATTAAAGTAAAACAGACTTTCAAGCACTTCCAACTTCTTATCCGAAAAAGATATTGCATAGTTCCACTAGAAATAGAGGCCATACACACCAAGTTGCTTGTATGGAACTCAGCTGTCACTTTTGGTTCTATTTTGTTTATAGTTTCGCTGTAACCACCAGAATTCAACATAACTTTGGAGTAGAATACAGCCCATTGAAAAAGGTAAAAGGCATACCCAACAGTTAAAGCTAGCCTGATTTCTTAGTCAGCATCCTGGTTGCCTGCAGCTTCTCTGCTCACCCATTAAGCATTCCAACCAGCCTTAAGAGATTGTATCAGTGGTCAGAGCTGACAAACATCCTCTATCTAGCAGCAACTACTGTTAAACTGTCTCAGGGAAGTTTTTCCTTTTTTTTTTTTTTTAAACATTGACAAGTTTTAGGTATTTTACAAAAATCACAAGCTGCACAGACAAGAAGTTCCCTGGGACTACCAAACTATGCTTTTTTATAGTCATGCACAGCTGTAAATGCTTCTAAAAATATAATTCTACATAAGCACAACTACACATTTTATAATCTACATTCAAATCTGAAACCTTTGATATAACTTTAGAATTGCAAAGCAGAAATAAAAGATCACATGAGATAATTGCTGTCTCTCAGTTGCACTGAATGGTCCTTTATTTTCACATTGAAACATTGGAATTACACAGCCAATATTTTTGGTTGTTTTTTTTTTTTTTTTTAGTAACATCTTACTTCTTCACTGGGATGCTTCACATTAAATCTCCATTCCATTAGAAATCCTCCCATTCTGCAGGTGATTTTAAAGTCCTTTTTTGCCACCCCTTTCTTTTTTATACAGTTTAGATAATTAACTGTGTGAGGCAGGGACACCTCACACTAGACCATGTCGCCCAAGGCTCTGTCCAACCTGACCTTGAACACACTGCCAGGGATGGAGCATTTACCACTTCTTTGGGCAAGCTGTTCCAGTGCCTCACCACCCTCACTGTAAAGAACTTCCTTATATCTAACCTCAAGTTCCCCTGTTTAAGTTTAAACTCATTACCCCTTGTCCTACCACTACAGTCCCTGATGAAGAGAACCTCTCCGGTATCCTTGTAGGCACCCTTCAGATATCAGAAAGTTGCTGAGATCTTCCCAATATGCCTACATCTTCTACTCATAAGCCTCAATCTTAATTAAAAATTAGATAAGCTGAGCTACTTAAAGAACTTTGGACTACAGCTAAAGCAACTTCAAATACATCAGATGGTTCCTACACTGGCACCTGCCCATATGAACTTCTACCTACCTCTCCTCTGCCCTACAACCCAAATATTTTTTAAATTAGCAATTTTCTTCACCACCTATAGTTTTGCTGCAAGAAGTTACTATTAAGTGGTAGCTTCCTCCCATACAGACACGTAGCCTTTTTTTCAATATATAAGAATTATGACTTTAAAAACGCTAGATACACAAGCAATCCTGTATCTGAGAAACCAAGCACTTCACAAGTAAAAGAAGCAAAACTAACCTTAGTCTCCTTTTCCCTTTTCTTCCCCCTTGAGGGTCCGTCACCATTTTTAATTTTTGCACTCTTTTTCACTGTCTCACATTCTTGTCGCTTTCCAGGAGTTACAACGTCAAAGAATTTCCGGATATCCTAGTAAAAGGAAAAGCTGATTTATAAGTTCTTTTAATACAGACAGCTCTCAAAGTTTCACACCACAAAACAGCAAAGCACTTAAGTTACTTTCTCAGCAGCTCCATTATAGTATTTGTTGATCTTGAAATTTTATTCAGAATTAAGGAAACACAGCCCAGCTAGTTAAACGTAGCTGCTCAGACACCTACCACCTTTCTCGTCTTTGAAGCATGAAAAAAAGAGTTCATTTCTCCCTTAGTTGGACATCTTCACCGATACACACTTCAAAACAAAGTTCCACTAGCAGTGAAATACAGTGACATACAACAGATGTATGGTTAAAATTCTTTTTTTCCTAACTAATCATCACAAATCTAGCCCGAAGCATTTCTATAGTCAAAACCATCAATTCAGCAATGAGGTAGTGTCCAACGTAGAAAGACAGAAAAGCACCAAGAGCTAGAAACAGCCAAATAGGGGGACTAGGACATCCTCCACCTTCTCATAAGTTTAGGATAGTAACTGAGTAAACCCAATTTCAATCATTGAAAAAAAAAAAAAAAAAAACAGGGCAAGAAACAGATTAAAATTTGAACAAAGAAAAAGAACTTAATACAAAGAGCTCCAAAAAGTCTATTTGTAATCTTATTATCTGACCACAGTACAACCACAAAAAGCTTTCTATATACATAAGATAGCGCCTGAAGCTTCAATTTTATGAAAGCACTATTACACACACAAAGCCAAATCTGACTTCTATTGAAAAAACTAGTATTTCAGTTTTATTAAAATTAAAACTGAGAAAATGCATACCTGGTTGGTAACACTACCTTCAGGGGTAGCAGCCATTTTAGAGGAAAAAAAAATACATCCTATGGCCTAAATATATAGCAGGTAAAGGATGTGGCTCAGGACTACATTCTACCCAGCTGATAGCTATTCCCCATCATTGAGTTCATCTGGGTAGTTTGTTTATTCTTGTAGGGAACTGCAAGTAAAGCACTGAAGTCCTACGAAATCTCCATAAAAGTCTGATTGACAAGAAGGGGTGTTTCAGGCTGCTTTTCAAGAGTTCTGTGGTAGTTTGCATTATCATAGCCTATAGGGTTTAAAATCAACACAATATGTAATTCGAAAGCATACACAAAAGATGGGACACAGAAAGATTTATTTAGTGTACTTATCTAAAAACAATTTTCCAGAATCAGAAATGTTGTTTCCTGTAAAAATTTAGACGCCTCATGTTTGACCTGTATATAATAATATGGATTCAGCAAACAAGCAATGGTAGACTGGGAAGCGTTCTTTCTCAATGAGACTGCATACATTTCAATCTGTGGAATTTATACCTTCAGGCATAGATTTTCAACACTCTGCTATTTTACAGGTACTCCTACAATACATATGCAGTACTATATAAGCTCTGAAATTTTGACTGCCAATACCTATAGCTAACAGGTTTGAAGAAAGCATCTATATAAAAAGGCTAAAAGTAGATTCGTGGACTCGATCACTTAATCATTATTACTGACTTCTTTTTAGGCTTAAGGTAACATAGGCAACATAAAAAATTATTCAAAGTCTTGTTAGATCTTTTATGTAGTAAAACAGTTTAAATACTTACTACAACACTGCTAAATAAAGTTACTTCTAAGTTCTGTTTTCATTTCTTTTATAGTTCGTACTTGTAGGCTTACAATATTTGGAGAATAAATTTTAGATCAATATTAATACTATTCATTTTAGTATTTTAACTAGAAACTGTTAGCTAGTAAGTGAGCTGCTCCTCAAACACTATATGCAATATTAGATTACTTTTTTAATAGACTTATACAAGAAAATGCCATCATATCCTGGTTTATAAAATACAGACTTAAGAAAGAAAAATATATTAAATTGACCTGCTTGCCCCATCTTCTTCCACTGTTTTCATACTACAGCTCCTGAACTGCTAAGACCTAAATTATAACATGTAAATTAATGTTTTCTTCCTCATCAGTTCTCATGAGTTATCAAGTTAGCTCTTCATAAGTACCTTTAACTCATAAAATGCCACAGAGCAACAATAAAGTTGTCTTTCAGCGAAGCTTTTATCCCAGAATCATGAGAAACAGACTTTTTATGGCATTTACTAAGAGATGCCAAATAAATCCTTAGTTCATTGCAGAAGTTTGAAGACTGTTTATTTACAAAGTATTATATAAGCTCAGATCCCAGACAGGATCACTTGCGTCCATTCTAGGTGTATCTGTTTAACATACTCTGACTGATCATCTTACTGGTATATAATGCCATGCATATAGAGTTCACCAGGTGGAAAAACTGTGTATGTTTAGCTTTTATCCATTCCAACGAGGAAAGGTGTGTGCCAATGTAACTGGCAGGTTTCCTTCTGGGACTTTCCCCCAAAACCCACAGAAGTCGTCAGTCTTGCGTATCCTGGAGATACACTCACTAGCATGGCTATCCCAGGTGGTCCCCCTGCCCAGAAGACTAAAGAGGCAAGGCTACATTAGTGTGGTCTCGCCCATGGATGCTTCCGCAGTAGCAACAAGACATGTAACTTTTTTCCAGCAGTTCTAACCAAGAAAGAGGTGGAACTAAGAATTTCTGATCACTCTCACTAAATTAGGGAGGTAACTGATGCACAGCATCTGAACAGCCTAAAAAGCTGTGTTCAGGTGTACATGAACAGCCCAAAAAGCTGTGTTTAGGTGTACAAGAACAGCCTAAAAAGCTGTGTTCAGG